ACCTAACATAGCATACTCTATCAATAAGTTAAGCCAATTTTTGAAGGCTCCCACTCAACTGCATTGGCAAGCCTGCAAACATCTACTTAGATACATCAAAGGCACCACAAATTATGGTGTACATTTAAGCAAAAGTCACATATTTAACTTGGAATGTTACACTGATGCTGATTGGGCAAGCAGCCTTTATGACATGAGGTCCACCAATGGCTGTTGTGTGTATCTTGGTTCAAATTTGATTCAATGGCATTCTAGGAAGCAGGAAGTTGTAGCTCTGTCCTCTATTGAAGCAGAATATAGAGCTCTTGCATAAGGATCTACTGAACTTGCTTGGTTTTGTTGTTTTTTCTCTGAACTTGGACTTGTTCTTAATGAAGTTCCTATCATTTGGTGTGACAACCAAAGTGTAGGGTCTCTTGCCTCTAATCCTGTCTTCCATGGCAGGACCAAACATATTGAGCTAGATGCTCATTATGTGAGGAGTCAAGCCACAACTAACAAGTTGAAAGTTCAGTATGTACCTACTGAATTTCAAAAAGCTGACATATTTACTAAGACCCTCTCAGCCTCCAAGTTTGAAGTTCTGAGAGACCAGCTTAATGTCAAGGCTCCACTTGCTCCAAAGTCTTGATAATTAGACTTAAGTCTCTCTATTTGCAACAGTCAAATGAGCAACAACATGCCTTTATGATATGCTATAATAATGTTGTTTCAATCACACCAGTACAACATTCATGAAAAATCTGGCCTCACTAAAACAACTGATGCGTTTGAGCAACTGATCTTCTGTTGAAAGTTGGCTGCTTGAAGATGATATGCCTATATGGTTCATTTGGTATGAATATCAATTCAGCTGATGTGAATTGGTTACTTTTCATTTGCAGCAGCAACTGATGTGTTATTGGATTGAATTGGTACAACTAATGTGTTATTGGAGTGAATTGGTACAACTGATGTGTTACCGGAGTGAATTGGTATCGTGAATAGATCATTTTTTAGGTGAAGTGATGTTAGTCAATTTTGTTTGTTTTCATTTGTAGTAGTAGCTGAAGTGATATTGGAGTAAATTGGTATGTTGTGAATTGGCTAGTTTTGTTTGTTTTCATTTGCAACAGTAGTTGAAGTGATATTGGAGTAAATTGGTATTGTGAATTGGTAATCTCTGTTTGGAGTGAATTGGTGTTGTGAATTGGTTAATTTTGTTCAATTTTGTTTGTTTCATTTGCAGCAGCAGCTGAAGTGATAATGGAGTGAATTGGTTTTTGTGAATTGGTCATTTCAAATTTGTTTTCTTGTGCAGTAAAATGATGCAATCTGAGAGCTGGCTTCTTCTTGTTGATAATTGAATGTCAGTTGTCCACTTAGTATTAAATATCAGTAAGTTTGTGTACTGCTTTGTCCAAAAGGAATGTTGATGACTGTAGAAATGTCACGTTCATGGGAATTTCAATTTACGGAAGGATGCTAGGATTTGTGCACAAGTTGACCTGTTGACTGAATTATTAACTTGCATATGTTGACTTGTTAACTCAAGTCTGTTTTGTATATAAACAGCTCTGTAACTAACTTCTCTCTTAATGAAAAATTCTGTTGTAGTTCTTGATAGAACTTTCTCTTATTTTCTTTTTCGGTTTGTTACTTTCCTTCTCACTTTCACATCCAATTGGATAAAAGAATAATGAGAAAAAAAAAAAAAAACATATTGGACTAATATAATGCTGAATCTTCATCTTTTAGCTTAAGATTTTAAGTGAGATGACAATGTCCAACTCTTGTGTTTGCAATACCTAACCATCGTGTGATTGGGGTATCTAACCATTATTTATTACTTTTTAAAAGATATAGACTAAAGGCAGGCCATCGGTGCCCAAATCATGTGTTTGGGGGCATCTAACCATCCTTTATTACTTTAAAAAATACTAAAGGCAGGCTATCGGTGCCCAACTTGTGTTTGAAATATCTAACTATCCTTTATTACTTTAAAAAATACAGACTAAAGGTTGTAGGACATTGTGCATAATCTTGTGTTTGGGGGTATATAAGTCATAACCATCCTTTATTACTTTAAAAAATATAGGATAAAGGATGGCCATGGTGCTAACTCAGTACTGTTTGAAAAATTATGCTACTAAAGGTAGGCCATGGGTGCCCAATATTGTGGTTGGGGCATCTAACCATCCTTTGTCACTTTAAAAAAATATAGCCTAAAGGCAAGCCATGGGTGCCAACTCGTGTTTGTAGTAACCATCCTTATTACTTTAAAAAATATAGACTAAAAGCAGGCCATAGGTGACCAACTCGTGTTTGCAGTACTAACCATCGTAACTTTGAAAAAACATACATAGGTTGGCCATTGGTGCCAAAATGTTGTGTTTTGGCGTGTCTAACCATCTTTTATTACTTAAAAAATATAGACTAAAGGCAAGCCATCCGCGTCCAAAAACAAAGAAAGTTGCTATATTAGTTTGTAGGGAGTAGTTCGTAATTTATCATTACTCTCTATATACACAATAAACTTCATGGATATGAATAAAAAAACTGTCAACCTTTTTCAGAAAATGATATGACCATCAATGATCAATCGGCCGTTTTTCCGAAGGACTCTTTCGTAGCTAGAAGAGTACCTTCAGCGTTTGTCAATAACCAGGGGAAGAATTTCTGCCAAAATGGGAAAAATAAATAAATACATCAGTCGAGTTAACAAATTGACATTTCTCCAATGGTGGATTCTGATTAATTTTCCATTTGAGGTTGACATTATGGCCACTCTGTTTTGAACATATTGACATCTACACTCAAAAAAAGAAATGTGCTATCAATACAAAGTTCTACGCGTCTAATTGAGGCTGCACATACCGACATTGAATGAAGCACAATGTCAATTTTCCTAGTGCATTTTCCATTGTTCTTTCAATGCTTGGCCTCCTTGCGTTAACCCCACGTTCAGGATTTAGAGGAATAAAAAACTTCCCACAACTCAAAAGTTCATATTATAGAAATAGTTCAAAATCCAACTCAAATAAGAAGATAGATTTATAATATAAATTAACAATAAATTATACATATAAGTTGAGATCTCATCTTTAACTTTGTATCAACAATAAATTACATAAAATATTTCATTGCTCCCATTATCACATAAAATTATTCACTGATCCATTATCTTATAGTCAATTGGTATTGATGCAAACAACCATATTACTTATTAATATTGTGGTGGTTTGTTGAATTATCGAAACCCACGTATGGTTAGGTAATTAAGATTATCACCTCTCTCTATTAACTAATGAAATTGTTTAAAGAAACGAGATTATCTGTTGTCATATATATGTTAAATTTTTCTCATTTTTCAGTTCATTCTCATGATTCATCTTATTAATAAACATTACTATTAATTACGCGTATTTTGAAAACTAATAACACAACTATGCTTTATCAGATAGTTTTATTAAGTCAATAAAGCGCTATTGCTTATTAGATAGTTTTATTAAGTCAATAAAGCAGGAGGAGATATCATATGTCACTGAAGTTAGTAATTTTCAGGATCAAAGAATCCAAATTCACAACAACATTGCTCACGCATAATTGAAGTCCACCACGACACCTTTGATAGTGCTACATGTTTCACATCAACTTCATAATGTTAATTAAAATTATCCCAGAAGGCACGAAACTGAGATAGAGGGGCTGAATACTTGAATCCCATCCCAAAATTATTGTAGGGCATGTGAATCACGGTTCACATTGTGATTGATCAATATTGCTTATTTCTTTTTAGTGCTCCATATTCCAGGAACTCCATTGTTGTAAACTGGTCAAAACTACAATAGCAAAAGACCAAGTTGGTTGAAAGATAATTGTGGAAAAACGTGAATCACAGTCAATGTTATCTTATGGTCTTTTACGCTTTTTCATAGTGCTTAAAAAGTGTTTCTGGCCGTAGGGATTCATTATGTATTTAATATAGGAATATCCCTGGCCATATGATGACTTAAATTCATTGATCTTGTGTGGTAGTGGAAGTTAAAAGAACACAGAAAAAAGACAAAAGAGGATGTTTCAACGGGGAGGTAAATATATACTACTATTCTCAAGTTTTGCAACAATTTTTTCATCTATACATTTACATATTATTAGTCAATTCTCTTATGAACGTTATGATTTTTCTAAAATCTGGACCTCAATTCTCGCAAGTGTGATTTGTTGATAAAAGACAAAAGATACTTTCGAGAATTAAGTGATGCATATGCTGATTTACTTAGGTTGGCACCTAGAATTTTAGGTCATATTATATCATTATTTATACGTACCTTGGGGTTAGGGTCCCCCTTATTCTAGCATATGTTAAACTAATAAGGGTAGAATGTATATACTATTACTTTTTCAGTAAGGTTAGGTAATGTCATCTTAAAGATATTTTGACCTGCGTAAAACATTGTTCAAAGTCAGAATTTAATTAACGGTTGTTAGTTTGAGAGGGGTATTTCCTATATTTGAAAGATGCATATCTTGAACTCACATTTGACCAAAAGGTTAGGGTGGATTAACTCTCTCTCCTATAGCTACACCGTCATTCTCAGGTTATGCACCTAAAATCCATCCATACTTAAAAAGTAAAATAATAATAAAAAAAAGTCTCAATAGGTAGGTAATGGCTACGATAATCTATTAATTTTGCATTACATGTGGTTAATCATTATTAGACTAAATGGGGTTGCAATAATAAAGTTGAAACCAATCATGTAACACTTGAGTTAATTTCTTTGTTTTTTAATTTAAATATAAAGACATACTATTATAGAGTTTTCCTGTAGCAGGTATGGGGACAACCAATTTTGCTCTAGCTGGTATCGTGACCGAAAAGCTACAGAAGAGAACATGAAAATTGGAAAGAAAGTTTGAAAAGCTACTTGATTGCTCAAGGTCTCTGGGATATAGTCTCTGGAAAGGAAGCTCAACCGAAAGAATCCGAACCAAATTATGAAGCTTGGGTAGAAAAAATGCCATGGCCTTGCATGCCATGCAAGTTTCCTGTGGTGCAGATACAATTTCCAAGCTCAGGGGCAGTGAATCAGCCAAGTATGAGTGGGAAGTTTGGCGGAAAAGCGTCCACCGCCATTGCGGAGGGTGGCGGCTTGTTTGCAGACGAAGGTAATTAATTCTAGTTTTATTATTTAGTACTAAAAAAAGTGTTTCTCAAAAAGGGTTAGGCTATTGTAACTCAAAATTTTTTTTATAAGTTTGTGACAAAAATTCTGATTATAATTAGAAAATATTTTTTTTATGATTTAATTCTATTGGAAAAAAAAAAACTTATCTATAGTCTGTCTTTCTTGTGAATATATATCCTAATTTGGTTTTTGAAGTGCATAAACCATTATTACAAGAGTTTAACTTTTGCTTGCGAGAGTTCATAAAATCTTTTTCAGCCACAGAAAAAGAAATTTAAGTTACAGAAAACTCCTAAAATTCTTATGATGTTAAATCTGTACACAAACAATAATTAACAGGAGTTAACTTTTGCATGCCAGAGTTCACAAATACTTTTTAACGTCAAAAAAATAAATTCTGAATTTCAGAAAATATTTAAAATCCTTATCATTTTATTATTTTCTTATGAAGAAACTCCTTCTGTAGCAGGAACTTGGAACAACACCTTTCAGTATGAAGCCCTCTACAAGGCTGTGAGCAAAGGCGATTGGGTGACCACCAAACATTTCCTTGATAGCAACCCACAAGCCGTGAGAGCGAAGATCACATTAACCGGTGACACTGCTCTTCATGTCGCCGTCCTCACCGGGCACGGCAAGCTTGTGGAGGAGTTAGTGAGGCTAATGTCCGACACAGACTTGGAACTCCGAAGTGGTCTCGGCTACACAGCCTTTTCCGTTGCAGCCATCAATGAATTCAAAGAAATGGCCAACATAATGCTTAGAAAGAACCCCAATTTGGTATGTGTGAAGAATGATAATGGACTAATCCCAATTGTTGTGGCCTCCCTTTATGGTTCAAAAGATATGGTTCGCTATCTTTACTCCAAGACTCCTATTGAAATTCTGAGTCCTGAAAATAATGATCGGAGTGGTGCCACACTACTTAATTGTCTTATCACAGATGGGATTTATGGTGAGTCCAGAAAACAGCGAGTTTTGATGAAATTAAACGATCACTTAAGGGATCGATGTAATAACTTTTCCAAAAACCTTGCTAGTTAATTTTTCTTTTGTTTATTATTGTAGATGTGGCTTTGAATCTGCTAAAAAAGTATCCACTACTTGGTGTCACAGAAGATTTTCATAGGAACTATGCAATCAAATTGTTGGCGCATAAACCTTCGGCATTTCCAAGTGGGCAAAAGTTTATATTTTGGAAACAGTGGATCTACTCATGTGAGTACTCAATTAATTAATTTCTGACCAATAATTTTCTATCTTATTGCTCAAATATGTGAACTGATTACTAAAATAACAATATATTTATTATAAGGTATGTGTGTGAAACAATCTGGGATAATTCACCACCATGATGATGAATGGCCCCCTAAAAAATTTGGTGACGATGAGGAAAGCAATATTATAAGGTCTCAAGAATGCTCAAGTTATAGCAATTGCTTATTAAGACAAGGTCTATTATCATTTCTCCTTTTCAAGTATTTTATATTTAATCATCAACTGCAATATTTTATTAAGTGATAGTACAAATAACGTGATATGTATGAATTTCTCTCTTTTTAAATATGCTCATCTCACAATTGTTTTCAATTATAACGTCTTGATTGCAGTGCGCAGTTTATTCATTGGACTAATTTGGAAACTCTTAACTTGCTTCGGTATGTAGCATTTCCTTAAAAAATTCCATCTATATATATGCCTTTCGGCGACAATAAGATAAATTTGTTAGAGCATTAATATTCAATAAAAAATTATCAATTGCAGTCCCTGACATGAAGCATATATATCATACAAAGTTGAGGCACGCTCAAGTCCTTGAACTCCTTAACTGCATTCTCAAGGAAATTCTGAAGTTAAGTAATACACAACTAGAAAGAATTGGATTTGATCAAGCAATCTACGATGCGATCAAGCACGGAATAATTGAGATTGTTGATGAGTTGATTGAGTGCAATCCTGAAATAATATGGAGGAAAGATAAAAAGGGTAGAACCATCTTTGCTAATGCACTTGTGCTTCGTCAAGAAAAGATCTTTAGCCATGTTTACAGATTGGGTGCTAAGCTTCGCATAGCAGTGCTTCGTCATGATATATTTGGTAACAATTTTTTACATCTAGCTGCCAAGCTATCTCCTCCTTCAAGACTTGATCGTATCTCAGGTGGAGCTTTGCAAATGCAAAGAGAATTACAATGGTTTAAGGTGAGCATACAAATACCCATGATCATTTTTTTTAACTATAATATTATATATACAAAACTGAGATTCTGATGAATTATTTTAACATCACATTAATCATAGAGAGTAATTGTCACAAAGTGAGAAAAACATTAATCATAGAGAGTAATTGTCACAAAGTGAGAAAAACATTAATCATAGAGAGTAATTGTCACAAAGTGAGAAAACTTGTACAAAATAATCTTTTCATCTCATTCTGTTATAACATAACAAAACCGTCCAATTCAAATGTGTCAAATATGTTTATATATAAACCATGCTCTATTATTTATCAGGAGGTGCAAAGCATGGTGCCACCAAAATACATGGAAGAAGTCAATGAAAACAACAAAGCACCAAGTGCATTGTTCTCAGAGGAGCACCAAGAGTTAATAAGAGAAGGGGAAAGATGGATGAAGAACACAGCAGCTTCATGCATGGTTGTAGCAACACTCATCGCCGCGGTAATGTTCACTTCAGCTTTTACGGTTCCCGGTGGCGACAATAACGAAACAGGTTTCCCCATCTTCTTAAAGTACGATGCATTCCTCGTCTTCGTCATTTCGAATGCTTTCGCCTTGTTTGCTTCTTCGACTGCTGTGCTAGTGTTCTTAGGAATTCTCACTTCACGCTACGAAGAAAGAGATTTTCTCAAATCCTCGCCGACGAAATTGATCATTGGTCTTTTCTCTCTTTTCTTCTCGATAGTAACCATGATGGTAGCGTTTGGTTCAGCTCTTTCAATTGTCCTCCAAGCAAGATTGAAATGGGTGGCCATTCCAGTCATTGTTCTTTCTTCAATCCCGGTTGTTTTCTTTGCTCTTTTACAATTTCCTCTTCTCGTTGAAATGGTCATCTGCACATATTGGCGAGACATCTTTGACAAACCGAAGAAAGGATCTATGTTAGAGGATAATTAATTGAATTTCTAATTTATGTATTTTAGCATGGAGGAAATTAATTGAATAACTTATGTTTTAATAATTATATATTTGGGATTTATTGTTTATGTTGGAATTGGGAGTGATTAATCTTAATTCACACAGCCCAAAACGTGATGAACACTATGAAAGAAAACTGATTTTTCTCTATTATTAATCTGAATGACTCAATTATAATGAAAATTTTCCATCTCTTTTATAGCAAGAGACTACAATAATAATCCTAATTAAAAACTACTTCCTAATTCAACTTAAATTAAGAAAAAGAAAATACATGTTCTCAAATTCCTATTCCTAAAACAAGAACTTAACTAAGATAATAATTCTCCTAAATCACAACTACTTTAAACAGGAAATTAAATCAAACTAAACATCTTCACTTCACGGTTGTGCCGTGGCATAAAGAAATCTTCGCCGTGGCGGGCGCTCCAATTCATCCGTTCCTACACTACTCTTTTGCGCACGCCGTGGCATGAAATTTTTCTTGCCGCCGCATCCAGCTTCTGGACACAACCTGGCCTCTTCCACTCTTTCAACTCTGCAGCCTTTTCTTCTTCTATTATTGCCAAGTTAAGACTCCAAAAAATGGTTTCAATTCTTAATATTAAATTAAAATTTGAAATATGAAACGTAAAACTAATAACATAATATTAAGATTTAAGATATATAAATAAAGGGAAATAAACAATAGTAAATTAAGGAATCAAGCTATTATGATGCAAAATTTAAACATAAATTGTGAAATGACTATTAATAATTAATAGAGTTAACGACTTTTCTCACCCAAATAATATTTTTAATAACATTTTCTCATTCACAGACTTTTAAACTACTAGTTTATTACCCAAATTTATATTTCAGTGATGAATAAAGTGCAAACTCGGTCTAAGTTGTTGAGGCCTTTGAAGAGAGGAGTCCAATGGGTTTTCTGGTGGTGGAAGGTTGGGTTTTAGTGTTTAAGATTGATCAGAATTTGATTTAGGAGGAGCGGCTATGTAAACCCTAATTATTCAATTGTCTGGGTCGACGAGAGTAGAGTTTGAAGGATTTTGGTGATTGATGATCGGAGAAGAGAATGGTGATGGTGGTGTAACATCACAACGATACCAAAATAAAAAACGGAATATAAATTTGGGTAGTAAAGTGGTATTTCAAAAGTCTGTGGGTAGGAAAGTGTCATTGAACCATTATTTAGGTAGAAAAAAGTCATTTACTCTAATTAATATAATGCAAATCCAATAATTAACTTTTTTTTTTTAAATTTTCTTTTATTAGTTGTACTTATAATTTGGGGATTCGTACTTTAAACCTTTGATTTTAATGCCATGTTAAGTTGACATCTCGCCTAAAACTTTAAGAAATATTTCCATATGTAGCCAACTTTACTAAGTTTAATTCCCAAAATGTAAGGGTTTGTTTAAAGAAGATTTAGTCATAAAATCACATAACTTAATGTAACTCTTTAACTACACTTGTAATGAAAAGTAACAAGGACAAAAATAGCTGAAAGGCATTAGACTATCAAGTCTAGTAGCATGGTCTAGCATGTTTTAATTAGACAATCAAACTACACTACTATATGCTAAACTCGATCTCGACTATTGAGTCTAGCATAGTCTAGCGCTATATATTAGGAATATAATATTTATTGTTTCATTAAGGATATAATTGATAAGTCATTGGATTTTATGACTGGATTTGTACGTTAAATAAAACTTGAATATTTAGGAAAACTATGATTATTTAGTTGACTATATATATATACTTAAGCTAGTAAGTGAGGGACTAACATTATATTAGTCTAATACATTATAGCACCACTAAAATAGTCTTCATTTGTACTTTGCCATGTATTAAAAGCTAAACTCATGTATGATATAATAATTTTAATTGAAAAAACTTCACAAAATGGATAATACATTACAAATTCAAAGATACGCGGGAAGTTGATAGAGGTACACATGAACTATAGTGATCTTAGTCGTATACAGAAGAGAAGTAATCAACAATTCTTTGCATCTCATGAGCAAAAGTCACATATCTTCGGGAAGAAATATCGGCTTACATTGTAAACGCGTTATTGGGTATCATGAGCATTTTATATCATGAGATTTAGGGTCTTTCTAACAAGTTTAAACAATTAAACTCAAATGACAATTAAACTTAAAGTTTAAGCAAGTGACATTATAAACTCAAATGTTATAATATAATGATATTTCCATCCAACAGATAAGAGTAATATAATATAACCTCTATAAATTAATAACCTGGACCATATAAATTCTATTAATTAATCGATAAATTAATAATTTATTAATTTATAGAGTATATTTACGATTCCACGAGCATACATTTAATTAGTTAAAGATTCGTTGTATTTTACCAATAAATAAGTTGAATATGAATTAATTCATTAAATATATATTAAAGCATTAATTTAAATTTATTGTACTTATGTACTTAATTAAATAATATTCATTTTATATAATTGCTGAGGATGATACAATAACTTTGGAACTTGCTACATGCAAGGAAGCACTCAAAGCATCAACAACACTTTATAATTTTTTATTGCAATTCTAGAATTCAACCCGAGAACTTTTAAATGCAATGAGAAAAATTAGAGATGAGATCTAATAAGATTTAAATTTAAAAAAAAAAAGTAACAATACAGTCATATTTTAATAAAATATCATAATTAATTAGCAAATTATTTATTCATGATATGAATGGTATCACATAGTTATGTAAGGTTTTCTAGAAGAATATTATTTTATTAATTTACCGAAATTATTAATTTAACCTACTAGCCCAAGTTGGAACAGTAAGAAATTATTATTTTATCGAGCTTTAATTTATAGAGGTTATACCATACTACTCTTACAAAGTTTGTATACAAAGGTAACTTTACAAAGTGATTACCCTTTACTTGACACATCATTTATCTTCATTTAATAAATTGATTTTACAAATTTACTCTCCCAATTATTATGTGACAAGTCACTTAGTATATAAATTTTGCAAGAGTAGTATTATTACAAATAGTCTTTGTGTATAAACTTTGTATGAGTATATTATTCAAAAGATAACCCTTGTTAGCCTAATATGTTATAGGGAGGGGTAAAGTTGTAAAATGCTCTGAAAATTAATTAGCTGTAAAAAAAAGGAGTTTTTTTTTTTTTTTTTTTTTTTTGGGTCACAATTAATCATAGGTAACAAAAGGGACAAAGTAAACAAATAAATCATGTATACATATCTATTTTGTTTAACATTTTTTATTTTATTTTCTTAATTTTATAATTTGCATCTCTCATATTATTATTTTAAACTATTATATCATTAAAAAAAAATTATAATAAAAACATATTTTCTTTTATTTAAATACTTATTTTTAACTATTTTATTGGAAATTATATGTTTGGATTTTTTCATATTTATTATATCTAATTATTGTTTTGTTTGTTTTATTTATTATCATAAAAGACAAAAGGATTTTTTTTTTTTCTTATTTTTTTGCCTTCTTGTTAGATCTTGTGTGTTAGATAACGGATTAAGCTAATGCTGGTTATCTATAAATGAAAATGTTACTATACTATAACGTTTGGACTTATTTTAATTCGACTAAATCTCTTGGTCTAATTGTTACTTATATTAAACCTTAAGTTTTANGGCTTGAATGAAACAATTGAGAAACTAGTGCTTGAAAATGGATAAATTAAGAGGGGGGTTACAAGTGCGATAGTCGTTGGTCTTTTTTTTGACACGTGTCTTGTTACACGAGAATCATTATAATTACAGTGAAATAAGACACGTGTGAAAAGGAGGGTCGTATTAATATTAGATCACTCTATTGGTTAAAGAGTTGATGATCGTATCAATCATTGAATCGTTCTAAATATTAAAGAATCGATGAACAATTAAAAAGAGAATTGATGATGTCGAATACTTCAATGATTGAATAGACGGAGAGTTATCCTATATTATCAGGGGGCGTTTGGTTGGGGGTTATGTGAGATTACTATGGTTAAGTCATTTTATATTATTTGATTACCATGTTTGGTTGTCAAGTAATATAAGATATCGGTAATCTTCAAATACCAATAGTGGTTACTATTGGTAATATTGAAGGTAATCTGATTATCTCCATTTTCTTAGGTATTTTAATATTACCAAATTTATCTTTTTTTGTTACAATTTTATCCCTTGTCAATAAAATTTTAGGACAATAATGCTCTTATTTTTTAATTTATTTACATGAATATAGTTTTTACTATTTCACCCAAATTAATTAACTTTTTGGACAAAATTACCCTTAAATTCAAAACAAATTGCAGCCCACCCAAGCCACCACCCCCACCCACCTGCCATCGTCTTCCGTCGGCAACCACCGTCGTAGCTAGTCATCACCGTCGCTGGAATGACGCATAGAAGGCCGAAAATGGTCGTCGTGCACCAATATGACCATTTCCAGCCATATATCTAGTCGAAAATGGCTCGATCGTGCCAGATTTGGCCGTTGATTGCTAGATCGACGGATCTGGCCATTTTCGGCCTGATCTCTGGCCGGAAATGGCCATATGACGCACTAAGGCTATTTCCTGCCTTCCGTGCGCTGTTAGGTTGCCAGCGGCTGGCAGTGACTTGGTTGGTGGGGGTGCTTTGTTGATTTTCTAAACTTTTATTATGGGGTTGTTTTTACAAAGTTTTTAAATTCAAGAGGGTTATATAATCCAAATAATAATTAATATTAAAAAATAATATAATAATGATATTTAATTAGAGGACAATTCAGTAATTTAAATAACATACCCACCAATTTATTCCTCACAACCAAACATATTAATATAGCATACTTACCAATTAACCAAACACATTTTCCTAAAGATTTCCAATAATTTTCAGGGGGCGTTTGGTTCAGGAATGTTAGATTACTGGGAATGTTGGATTACTGGAAAGATAGATTACCTTAGAAGATTACTGGGAATCTTTAGAAAAATGTGTTTGGTTAGTTTGAATAAATTGATGGGTATGTTTTATTAATATGTTTGGTTAGAAGGAATAAATTGGTGGGTATGTTGTTTAAATTACTAAATTGTCCCTTAATTAAATATTTTTATTATAATATTATTTATATTTTATAACTCCTATCTTTAAAAACCTCGGCAAAAACAGGCCCTTCCTAAAATGAACAATACACCCCCACTAACCAGCCACTGTCGGCCGCCGGCAACCACCGTCGGCGGCTAGAATCCAGTAACGTAACGTTGCATGGACAGCCAGTTGCGGTTTTGGTGGGATTATGATGGATTTAACGGTCCTGATGCTCCTGATTATTTGCTTTCTAATTTATACTCTGCTGTTCTAAGGAACTCAAAGGGTTGTTCCATCCGACGCCTCCTCGCCCACCGGCATGATGACTTCAGCATGGCTGGCTACCAGCCTCCACTGAGTGGAGAACTCTCAGGAAAATCAGCAACTCGAATTTTTCACTACTCAAAAACTGATGCTAATCAACACCTCCGGCGCAAGAAAGTGCTACAGCTCATTTCTTATGTTCAAGAAAGTTGCAATGCCAGTAGAGCCATAGATATTGGCCGAGCAGCTTTCACTACTACTCCTAATTTGATATCAAACACTATATTCTTCGTTGATGATTCATTTATTTTGTTTTACATTTATCTTGGGAGAGGATTCAGGAGAATTAAAGGACCTTGTGCAAAATTCTGTGCTCAACTTAGATTCTTTAATGAGTATTTGCCTGAAGATAAAGATCCTGCATTCATGGTCGGTGATTTGTTTCGTCTCTGTTCTTGCTCGTTGCAGGTAAAAAAACAGAAGGTAAAATTTGTCTTTTGTTGGTCAGAAAAGAAGGGAATGATTTTTCTTTTCACATTATCACTTCTACTGATTCAGGGTATTCATGGTGTTTCCTGAGCGTTCCTTTCTATATGATTTCAGGATCTTCTGTTTTTGGCTTGCAGTCATCCAGAAAATAGAAGTATTCTGATTAACATGGAGGAATGGCCTGAGTGGATTTTGGAGATTCTTATCTCTAACTAGAGGTAATCGAGCCAACTTCAGTCTCTTTATGTCAAGATGTTTTCTTTAAGTAAATGACTTTTTGTTGCATATGGAGACAAAGGTAATGCTTAGTTAGGATAAGAAAATTGGTGGGCTTAGTAATAGCTACAAGCATATTATCTTATTGGATAAAGTTTCCATGTACATGCCAACTTCTTGTCATAAATAACTGCATGACTTGTTCTGATAGATAAGTGCAGCGAACACTCTGGCTCACCAAGCATGGGAGATATAGAGGACCTAATACACAACTCTCCGTATCATTGTGGAGCATTCAATGCGAGAAGGATGGATGGAAGGTTGATGTTTATCTTATTTTTTATTCCATTTGAAGTCAAAAGTAACCTGGAAATTGGTGTGCTAAAAACTGTATGCTGCATAAAAACTAGTTTATTCAATGGCCTGAACATGCTCAGGTGCCACAAGACATGGCCGCTTAATTATTTTTCCTTGCTTCACAGGTTCATGGTGGATGACTTCTGTTATCCTGCTCCAATTAGTGCATTTAGAACTAGGAATGCCAATTCATTGATGTGTATATTTCATATTTACTGATGTACCCATGCAATTGTACACTATATTTTCATCAATTCTCATTTTCATGTGGTCAATCTTTTGTTACAGCTGCTGATGTTTTTCTATGGAGGAACAAGAAAATCTCTGCAGGTGTGCTTGGTGGTGCCACTGCTATGTGGATTCTCTTTGAATTACTTGAATACCACTTACTTACACTGGTCTGCATATATGATACTGCTCTTGCTGTCCTTTCTTGTGGTCCAGTGCATCCAAGTTTATCAACAAGTAAGGTCTTGGGTATTTGCCCTATCATTAAATGTCTTTGAATTCTATTAAGCCTTAATTTCTCCTTTCTTTGAAATAGGTCACCTCCTCAGATTCCAGATGTTAAAATCCATGAAAAGCATGTCGTGGATATTGCTTCTCGCTGACATATGAAATTAACCGAGGCTTGGTGTCCTACGAGATATTGCATCTGGGAGAGAGTTGAAGAAATTTCTTGGTGTATGTTGCTTTTAAAGCTCTACTGTTTTGACATTAACTTTATGGTGCAAGTGCTTGATTTGTTGCTTGAGTTTTATTGGATTAACACCAAAGTCCAGTGGACACAAAGCATACTTGGCAATGAACTTTACTATTTATCTCCATAGTCCACCCTAAGTATATGGTAAATTGATAACTACTGCACTGTTTTTTTGCAATTGACATATTTCTGTTCTTTTGTTAATTAGGTCATTGCTGGTTGTGGGTTCTGTCAATCGTGGGTAGTTGGTGCAACTTCCTGACCTTGTTCTACATATGTAAGTGATCCGTTTATTATTTTTCCTCTTTTATAAAAGAAGATGCTATTTTTGCCTATTCTTTGGATTTTGAATTTGATTGTTGGAAACAGCCTTTGTTTTGCTCCACACCGTGCCTATGATTATGAGAAATACGAGGACAAGATTGACCATTTGCTGAGAGGCACTAATTGAGATCAAGAAGCAATACGCTGTGTTCGATGAAAAGGTTTTGAGGAAAGTTTGAGTAAAATCCCAAGGGTGCATTGAAGGACAAGAAGAAGGAATAGACAGAGGATCAAGGTTTTGACAAAATTTGAGTTGTAGTTTGTCGTCCATTAGAACTTTGATTTCCTTTTTTATGTTTTAAAATAGCGTTTGAGTGCACACAATTAAACCAAATAAATATGTTTTCGCAATGATTTTTAAATTTTCTTTCTGGGATTATTTATTGTTGTCATTTTTTTTTATTTAGAGGATTGTCTTTGATGAACAATCCAGTTGTCCTCTATTAGGGTGTTGCAAATTTTATTGCTTATTCTTTATATGAATTTAGTAGAGAACTAATTTTGCTTATCATATGCACAAGAATTTATTTAAGATTGACAACATGAAAATGAGAATTGATGAAAAAATATAGTGTACACCTGCAGAGAGATTTTTTTTTTAGCCGAAAACTGCAGTTTTTTTTTAGCCAGCAACTGTTGTTTTTGCAGTGTTTGTGGGCAGCAGCTATTTTGCTTATTGGGTTTTTTTTGCTGGTCTTGTATAAGGGTTGCCTATCTTGCAGCAGCCTGTGTGGCTTTTTAGCTGTTCTTAACGGTTGGCTATTTTGCTTATTGGTTTTTTTTGCTGTTCTTGTATAAATAATCAGTTTATCACTTGATTATCTGTTCCATTTCATTACCACCATTACAGTTTGTCATGCATTTATCTGAAGCAATGTAACAACAAATGAAAATATTTAGAACAAGATTGTAGCATCTAACACAACCAACATATATATTACACCCAACCGAAAGCAATCTAGAAGCAATAACTCATAAACATTAAACTTAGTACAGATTTTTACAAGAACAGAACGGAAAAGCGGAGTGCTTGAAGTTTCGATTTCAGTTTAGTTGGAGCTCTATAGTGAGTGGATCAAACTGTGGTCAATCATGCCTCTATTCTTTCCTTTTCCCTGCAAATAAAGATAATCCAATAAGACGTTGCAACAACAAAAATCATGCCTTTAAGAATTACTCACCATGACAAAAGATGTCTTAACACTTTCGCTGTCTTCAATGGACATTTCAAATGCTCTGGTTACTGACCTTGGACTTCTTTCCTTCGTGTTCAATTACAAAAGCCCTCCTTGACGTTGCTTTCCTTTTACTGGCGGGTGATCGACAAAATATACATCTACTGCCCATGTGGGAACCTAAACCCATCACTATTTCAGTAACAAACACATCAAAAACATCTAAGGATTTATATGTCCTTAGACAAGACAGCATAGACTTAATTACAAGTCAAAAATATTTACAACCCCGTCAACTTGACTGTCTTAGGGGCTAAAAGGTGGGCAGTAGACATTACTTTCGTTCAGTATGCGCAAGACATATGTCCTCTTAAGTGACTCCGGCAACCCCATGAAAACATCTATCTTGTGCTGATCTTTGCACATTACCTCCAAAACATCTATCGTCTCTGTTGGGGTTAAAAGTCCCAATTCTTCAATTTTTGCAAACAAACGCTGACTTCTATCCTCCGATTTGTCAAAAGTTGCGGCAACCTTTTCCATCCCTCGGGAAGCAACCTCATACGTATCCCTCCACTTCTTCATTTGGTCCACCATTTCAGAGATTCCATCATCATTTCTTTTTCTTTTGTTGCTACTAGATGTCCTACGAGTTCCACTAGCTCCAGAGGCAGCCACATCATCCTTGTCTGGAACGTTACTCCCTTTATCAGCATCAACATCAACATCCATTGATTCATTGTTGTTATCGAGAATTTCTGAATCAAGATCTTCAACCGCATCAGCTGGGGTCTCCGCTCTAGCTCCACTTGCCCGGTCCCTACCGAAAAACAATGGCTAATGTGTCGTAGTGGGGGAAAGGTTTGTTCCTTAATCCTTGTGCAGTTGGATGGCTCTATTAAAGAAAAAAATGATAGATGACATTTAGAATTAATATACAAATAAAATTTACTGATGCATTCAAGATAGAAAAACCCTACCTTCACCCATTCCTCAAACACATCATTGGTTGCAGTTATGCATTTATCTTCATCATTCCACCCAAAGCCACTGCCGTGATTTAACATATCTGAAATGGCAACATACTGCCTTTTCCATAGCTTGTATCGTGATTCAATATGTGGTGTTGCCTTAAACCCAGAAGATGGAATTCTTTCTGCCATCATTTTTTCTAGTTGGACAAGAAACCTAGTTTTGAAAGTACCATTGTCAGCACCCCAATGACGGCATTCCTTCAAAGTAAGCAGACAATTAGCTAAAATGGCATCCTCCTCTTTTGTACATTGTCTTTTCCTTCCAGTTCCACCAGCTTTTTTCTTCCCTTTATTACTATTGCTTGGGTCATACATTGCCAAAGGCATATCCTGACTTCCACTAGCTGTTGCCGACTTATCCATTGTTGAATGAACTATTAAGAAAAAGAAATTAAACATTTATTAGGCAAATAATTAAATCTTGAATCATACTACCCCTTACTAAATAATAAAATTCAGGAATATATTTATACAGTAGAAGATCCATAAAGAAAAATATATAATCTAAGACAAATTGATGTCAATAATACAGAGTCAAAATTTGGTCCAACTGGAAAATCTTCCCAAGTCTAAAATAGTCCACCCCATGCAATTTTGAATATGAAGAAAAAATTATTATTCACCTGCAAATATCACTCACAACAACAACAACCCAGAACCACTTCCACAACCACACACACAGAGTCAAACAACACAGAACTCCAAAACACCCCAGATTAATCCAAGAACAAGCAAATACTGAATTATATCAATTCATATATAAACAGAACTACAACAGTACACCAAGTCGGTTCCAGCAACAGCCATAGACCAACAGTAGAAGAAATTAACCAGAACCAGAAAACAACAGCTATAATAAGAACAAAATAGCAAAAACTAGTAGAATATATTTATACAATATAATATTTAAAAACAAAAAACATATATTCCAAGACCAATAATTTACATTCAAACGTCAAATGTCATTATGCCATGCAATATATATACAAAGTACAAAACACCATAACTATTGTCAGCCAAAGAAATAACACCCTAAACTAATTACAATAGCCTAAGATTGTTGCCAACTTTCAAACATCTGGTGTGCTAGATTATCCCTCCATGCAATCCATGCATCACTTGGCTCCACATGGCTTATAAATTCAGGTTCGGGATCGGCTTCCGGTGGGGTATTGTTCATCTCACCAACCTCACTTTCCATAGGGTCAATGGCCATCTCAGACCTAATGTAGTTATGTAACAGGCAACAAGCGGATATTATTCTGCACTGCGTTTTGATAGGGTAGAAAGATTTCTCACTTAGAATCTTCCAACGGGCTTTCAAGAGGCCGAAACATCTCTCAATGCAATTTCTTGCTCGGGAGTGTTTCATGTTGAAAAATTCTTGAGGTGTCGTTGGTTGGTAACCATCTCTCCACTCATTCAAATGGTATCTCTGCCCTCTATAAGGTGCCAAAAACCCATTCCCATTGGTGTAACCCGCATCACATAAATAGTAAAAACCTAGCATGATAATAAAAATGTCAATTACAGATACTCATCTAATCATTCACCGTTATTGTAATGAACTTGGAAAATTGTATAGAAACTATACCTTGAGGGACCTTTAATCCATTTCTCCTACTAATTGCATCTCTAAGGACTCTACCATCAGCAGCTGAACCTTCCCACCCAGGGAGAATATAAATGAATTGCATTTTTGGTGTGCAAACAGCAAGAACATTCATCGCAATTTCATTTTTCCGAGTGCGATACCTAGGTTTATCATGAGCGGGAACTTGAACCCTAATATGTGTTCCATCTAATGCACCCAAACAATTCTACCAAAAGGATAACACAAATTTAATAAATTAGTGTTGTACTAAAAAGGAACCTACATAAAAACTACCATAATATATTGTTTAGGTTCTTCATTATGTACCTTGAACCATTTCCAGTGTTCATCTGTTGAGTCCTCCGTGATAGGCTCAGGTTCTTTCAGTAAAATTGTATGCATTCTTAAAACAGCGTTCAACACTGCATGAAAATTTCTACTAACTGTCTCACCGGACCTAGCTAGCTGGCGGTTTAAGACTTTGTTCTTGATATGGTGTGCACAAATGTGAAGAAAACTACAAACCATTTCCTCTACGGATGTATTTCTATTTGATTTTAACCCCCCTTCACGTTGAAGTAACGCACATAATTTTTCAAAAGTTGTTATATTCATTCTACAGTTCACTACACATTGGTTATCATCTTGAAAAATCATTTTTCGTAAATTGAGGGTCCTAATGGTATGGTTACTGCAAAAGTTACCCGCATATGATATGCCCCGTCTATGTCTATTCCTATTCTTCAGTAGCAAAGCAATCGTCGTAAAAACTAGTATGATGTTTAGGGTGTCCATCATATGAAAATACATCATCATAACTGACACCAAATGCTTCTACCTTTTAGTTAAACGAGCCATTACTGTCCATAGAGGAACATTGGATTATTGTCATATATGAGGGAAGAAGACATAACATAATATTTGAGGGAAAAGGACATAACATACATAAATTTCAAACATATTTACAACCCCATCAACTAGACTTCAATTCAACACCAAAACATCGGGCTTAAAACTGACAGAATACTAGAACAACATATGATGTAACAATTACTTTTTATCAAGCCAACAGCTCTCTTTTATTAATTTTCTATTGTAAGTCACGGCCTCATCTTACCGGAGGCACGATCAGGTGGAGTTCATAAAGCACCAACCCGCTCTTTGTGACTCTACTCATTCTCTCTTTATTCTTTCTCACTTGAATGTCACGACCTCATCTTACCGGAGAAGAAGACTGACATGGATGGCAACGTGCATACTTATAAAGCACGACTGGTTGCCAAAGGTTTCAAACAAATTCATGGCATTGACTATGAAGGAACCTTTTCGCTGGTTGCCATGATTAAATCCATCCAGATTATGCTTGCAATTGCTGAATATCATGACTATGAGATTTGGCAAATGGATGTCAAAACTGCTTTCCTGAATGGAAACCTTGAGTAGGATGTGTATATGACACAAGCTGATGGTTTCGTTCTTGATAGCCAAGCTAATAAGGTATGCAAGTTGCAAAGATCCATTTATGGACTCAAGCAAGCTTCAAGGAGCTGGAACATTCGTTTTGATGAAGCCGTAAAAGAATTTCGTTTTATCAAGAACGAAGATGAGCCCTGTGTTTACAAGAAAGTGAGTGGGAGCGCAGTAGCATTCCTAGTGTTGTATGTCGATGACATACTTCTGATTGGGAATGATATACCGAACTTACAGTCGGTAAAGACTTGGTTATCCAAGTGCTTCTCCATGAAGGACTTAGAGGAAGCAGCCTACATCCTTGGAATAAAGATCTATCGTGATAGATCGTGTAGGTTGCTCAAACTAAGTCCGAGTACATAGACAAGGTACTGAACACATTCAGTATAGAAAAATCCAAGAAGGGATTTCTTCTGATGGCATATGGTGTCTATCTCTGTAAGGATATGTGTCCTTAACCACATAATGAGAGAGATAGAATGAAGAGGATCCCACATGCTTCAGCAAGTGGATCCATCTTGTATGCTCAGATTGATATCTAATGTGCATTCAGCACTTGTGGTGGATATCAATCAGGCTCAAGTGAGCAATATGTTATGTACTTAGATTGATGTCTTATGTGCATTCAACACTAGTAGAAGATATCAACTAAATCAAAGTGAATGACACTGAATGAGTGTCAATAGACATTCTTAAGTACTTGAAAAAGGCTTAACAATATATATTCTTGGATTATGGAGGGAAAGATGAGCTCACTGTAAGGGGATACAGTGACGCTATTTCCTAACAGGAAAAGGATGATTATAGTTCGCAATTTGGGATTACACAATTTTGTCTCAATGTGACTACAGTGAGCTGGAAGAGCTCGAATCAATGTATTGCAGCGAATTCTACAATTGATGCTAAGTGTATCACATTTTTAATGTTGCCGTGTAGGCGGTTTGGATCAAGAAGTTCATTACTGAACTTGACATGATTCCAAGCATTGCTAATCCAGTATAGTTGTACTGTGATAACAATGGAGCCATTGTTGTGGCTGAGGAATCACGGTCTCACCAGTAATCCAAAGACTTACTTAGTTGATTCAATCTGATATGAAGGATTGATAAGAAAGGAAACGCGCAGAATTGCAGAATACCTACTAACCCACTATTGAAGTTTCTGTTGTAGCAGAAGCATGATGAGCACTTGGGTCATTCAATGTTGAGTGCATGAATGACTGGCTATAGTGCAAGCACTTAGGTCATTCAATGTTGAGTGCATGAATGATTGGCTATAGTGCAAGTGGGAGATTGTTGAAGTAGGTGCCCTAGAGCCAATCAATTATTGTGGAATTGACTCTTTGTAATAATATTCATTAATCAATAAAAAGGCATTTTATACTATACAGCGTAAATAATTATTATTGCAATATGTATTGATATATGTCCTAAGAATGGTAGAACCATGACGAAGGTATCAAGAGTTTCAAATCTTGATAGTGAGAACCCTATGAGCACATATGGTGTCCATTCTAGAAACGTCTGTAGCCCCAGTATTATTCTGAAGTAAGGGCACAAATAATACGGTAAGGCTATCATAGTGTTGAACGACCCTGTCGAAAGGCAGTGACTGATCTCACTTGTCAAGGTTGTTTGGTGACAACCTGGTGCAACACATGGGTGGTTGCTGTAGGCGAATACACCGCAGCAAGTTCACTGGACTGACCCACCAGAGGATTCCATATGGATGGTAACCCTAGTGTCTATGGAAAAAATCCTCTAACGAATGGTGGTGCATGTGATCCTTAGACTTGAGATCACCAGAGCGCCTTGTGCACCGATTGGTGCAGTTTGACACTAGCCTAAAGCAGTTCTTTTCAAAGCTGTCAATACGGTGGTGATTGGCTGCATCAAGGAGTGTATCAAGACTAGGGTGGATTGACAGAGGATTTATCACTCCCGGGTACGGGAGAAGTTATCTCACGGCGCAATTCAATATATGGCAATGACACTAAAACTGTGGCCACAGTGGGATTGAGTTGTTGCTCTATCCGAATTATAATACAGGTCATTGGTCCAGAAACTGAATACATAATATCGAGAGTAACCGAAGGTTGACACTATTTCTATGCCTTTATCTCATCGAGATAACATATGATGAAAGGATCGAATTGTACGGTAACCATATCATTGACAGGTAGCTACTTTGCTGAATCCAAATCTATCGGGTGGCCATGATGCCTTGTTGGGGGCCAATCTTGGTCTGTGTATTAGTGAGACGATTAATTGGTGTTAATCGCGATACTATACACTGCCGGTATGATGAGGAGCCTATGGGTCACACACATAGAAGATAATTTAGGACTTAGGAAGAAAGAAGGGCGTTTTCGTCTTTTTAGGCGAAAGGGTATTTTGGTAATTTCACAGTGCAATTAAATTTGCTGAGGTCGTAGCCTTTTTTAATTTATTAGAAAAAAATTAAATAAGTGAAATTACGTTTAAATATGTGTTCGTATATATTTAATTAAATCATCATTATTGTTAAATTTTAATATATAGATTAAATATATATTAATTGAGTTTAATTGAGATAATGATGAAATAAAAAAATAAAAAATCTAAGTGGGAGTGTTTGGTAACATGGGGTGTTTGGGTTGGAGCCCAAGCCTATTCCATATGGGAATAGGGCATTAAAATTTTACTATAAAAGAAAAAAAATATTTGTAAAACAAGAGTGAGTTTTTCATTAGTTCAATTTCTCTTTGAAAAGCAAAAAAACACACAGCCCCATTTACACTCCCATGGCAGGATCCATTTTTGCCCAAAATCAATTCATTTGATTTTCTTCTTTAATCTTAAAGCTAAGGAGGATCTAGCAAATCCCTCCTTAGTTCTTTGTGATTGTCTTCGTGTGGACTTCATAAGTTCGATCCTACACTTGGGTCGGTAGCAAAAACGTTCATTGACAAATTTGGAAGAGCCTCCAAACGTGCGTATGTTTTTCTATACTCATGATTAATATTTCTGCAGATTCTTATTATGATAAAATTATAAAATTATACCTTTGATCTTGGCTCAATGGGAATGATCCTTGTATTATGTGTTTTTGTTTTCCGTTGCGTATATGGACCGTTTCCTAACATAGACTGACCCACCAGAGGATTCCATATAGATGATAACCCCAATGTCTATGGAATAAATCCTCTAACGAATGGTAGTGCATGTGATCCTTAGACTTGAGATCACCAGAGTGCCTTGTGCACCGATTGGTGTAGTTTGACACTAGCCCAATGTAGTTCTATTTAGAGCTATCAATACGATAGTGATTGGCTACATTGAGGAGTGTATCAAGACTATGGTGGATCGACAAAGGATTCATCACTCCCAAGTATGGGAGAAGTTATCTCATGACGCAATTCAGTGAATGACAATGACACTAAAGTTGTGGCCACAATGGGATTGAGTTGTTGCTCAATCCAATTTATTATTCCGATCATTGGTCCAGTAATTGAATGCAAAGACAACAAGAATAACTAAGGTTGACACTATTTTTGTACCTCAGCCTCAATGAGATAACAAATGATGAAAGGATTTGATTGCATGGTAACCATATCATTGATGAGTAGTTGTTTTGCTAAATCTGAATCTATCGGGTGGCCACAATGCCCTACTAGGGGCCAATCTTGGTCTGTATGTATTGAGACGATTGATTGGTGTCAATCACGATAATAATCACTGCCGATATGATAAGAAGCCTATGGGTCACACACTTAGAAGACAGTTTAAAGACGGTAAATTTTTGAAGGGTATATTCTTCTTTTAGACGAATGGGCATATTGGTAATTTTGCTATATAATTAAATTTACTGAGGTTGTAGCCTATGTCCAATTTTTCTATTGGAGTAATTTTGCAAAATTATAAATTTAATTATTAGAGTTAATATTAATATTTATATTAATATTTAACTAAATAATTAAATGAGGGCTAATATGCAATTTCACCAAAGTTGGGTTGTTGCAAACTTTGGGGGTGGAATGGAAATTCGCTCCATTATTTAAAGAAAGCAAAATTAGGTAT